GGTGGTGGTGGCTTTTGGGATTGGGGTTTCAGCATTAGAGGAGGTAGAACTCGTACGATCTTGAAGCCGCGTCGAAGGTCGGCCTAAAGATTTGCAAGTATCTGCTAGGAGCGCAGTACCTTCCCGACGAGCTCAAAACTAACTAACTATGTATATAAATAAATCAATAAATATATATATATATATATAGATATAAATATAAATATATATATATATATACATATTTGCAAGTTGCAGCCGCGTTGCTCTGTACGACCTTGATACTGGCGCATAAAGTATGCACCCTGCTTAAACCCTGCCCTAAGCCCGAAAGATATAAGATAGGCACGCAGAGACTTCCCTGCACGCGCAGGGGGCCTTCCTCCCTATTGTGGGCGTTTGCAGACATCCAAGCTGGATGTGCTGATTATCGGCACCTTGGACCCTAAACCCTGGACAATTACGGACGGAATGTGCTCTAAACCCTAAACCCCAAGCCCCTTAACCCTAAACCTCTAAACCCTAAACCGTCTGCTGTATATCCCCGGACCCAGGCAGCCAAACCTTGCCCTTGGTTTTCATGATGTCCATGTCACACTGTCGAAACTGTAGTCAACCAGCTGCAAGCCATGTGGGTAGTTGTCTAAATTCGGGTCGCTTTGAGGGTCCGTTTCAAAAGGGTGCCGTACTATATTGGGACCCCAAAAGGACCCTATCTCAGAGAACCACCCATGTGTAGGTTTTTATGTTTACGTGCGTGTGTACTATATCAATGTATATACATATGGGGTCCCCCAGAATGCAAGCCTATTTAGTCTGTTTGTGTATATTTATATTATATATATATATATGTATTCTCTCGGGTCCCGGGCCCCATCCCCCCCAGTTCGAAATTTCCAGACGTTGTCTCGGAACGACTGGTGCCATGGAGACGGCATTGGAATTCTTGGGTCTCTTCCTGGAGGCCCATGTGCTTTGTCATGTCTTTGTGTCAGGGGGTCGTTGCGGCTAAGTGCGGAAGACAGGACCCCCCGGATGAGACGATCGAGGCAAGTGACCCTGCACCTCATGCTCTGATGTGCTCTGCACCAACAGTCTAAATTGCACCTGCTTTCATCTTGTGTATCACATATATGCCAGAGCGATGCAGGACGAAAGCATCGCGGCCAGAACTTCCGGTGCGAAGAAGCTCAAGGGGCCTCCAGTGGATACTGCGAAGGCAGTTCTCGGATGATGATGATGATGATGATGACGATGACGATGGCGACGATGATGATGATGCTGATAATGACGCTGGTGATGATGATGATCATGATCATGATGATGCTGACGATGATGATGATGATGAGGATGATGTTGATGAGTAGGAGGAGGATGACTGCGGCAATAGCGGCAGGGCTCGTGCCACTGCTACTTGTTATTGCAGCATTCGCAGCCCCAGCGCCTGATGCAGCACCTCCTGTAATGCATCATATTCGTCCTGCATCATATTCATCACCATCCCTTTTAACTTTCATCATTAAAGATTAGTTATGGCTACCAGCATCATCGCCATCGGGCAGCAGCAGCACTTTGCGGAGCTTCACCCGCAGCCGATTTGTAGCAACAGCACTAGCCGTGGTAGAAGAAGAGGCAGCACTACTGATGGCAAGTATTTGCGTGGAATGTGAGCAGATTCTTGTCTTGGGACAAAAGAGCCGTCGTTTATCGACCGTCATGTTCCAGAGACTTCCTACGCCAAAACTTCCAAACTTGGTTGAGCCTGCACAGTACCCATTTCCTCATTTGGCCTTTGCTTCAGCTTCGTAGAGTCGTGTTCCTGGACCTGGACGGTTTCCCCTCGCAGCACTGGGAAGCGCTTGTGCCTTTGCAACCGCGGGCCATCGTTGAATCCTCGCCGAGCCACTTGCAAGCATGATTTACATTGGACACCGATACTTCCCCTATCCCTGTCTCCCCTTCCCCCCTTATCCTCCACTGCCTTATCATCCTTATCATCCTCATCATCCTTATCATCCTTGTCAATCATCATTATCACCCTTATCATCCTTGTCATCCTCATCATTTTTATCATTCTTCTCATCTTTAGCATTTTTATCATTCTCGTTATCCATCCCGGATCCTTATCATCCTCGACTCTTGTCACCCATGTCATCCTTATCATCCTTGTCATTTCGTCATATTGGAGTAGGCGCCACCATGCGCATCTTTCTGCTTCATGTCTTCTAAACTGTTACAAGTTGTCGCATAGCATATCAATCATTCCTATATATTGTCCGCGTGATCTAAGGATTTGTTTTCAAGCCCTACATTCCTGTTCTCATTGGGAAATACCAGTTGCTTCAAAGGAACGGCTGCCGCAGAAGATGATGATGAGCACGTCCGGCATGTTTGGTTGCATTCAGCTGAACAGGCTTGCAATGTGTGCTGCATTTGTCGAGTGCATAGGTTCTTCATGCATTACTTCGCGTGGTATTCGGCTCTTTATGTAGTTTTTCCTACTGGAAACTCCCTCACCTCGTGCTGCTTTTCTGGCTTCCACTGGTTTGCCTGGAGAAGCTGCAGCTCAAGCTCGGCAAAGTCGCGGCCCACCTGGCCGAGGCTGAGTTTGCGGTGGTGCAAGCCAAGAAGACCTTACAGAAGCGATGCGGCAAGGTACAGTCACTACACACAGCGATGGCGCTCCAGAGCAGCAATAAAGATGTCGGAGGAGAACCGCAGGGCCATGTGTCGAGTTCGTCCAGCGAGTCGGATGACGCATCATCCGACAGCTATGCGGTCGGGGGAGCAACCAGAAGCTAGCACCGCAGCCTCCTCAGGACCAGCGGCTGTTTATGTGACCAAGGAGCTTGCAAAGGCCTCGGATGGAGATCCCGGCAGTACGGCGGTGGGTCAACAGGGCCGAATGCCGGGCAGCCTCCACGTGCAGGCTGGGCGGGAGAACCACAAGGCAAGTATGCTGGTGGCTGACTTGCAGTGTCTGAACGACAATGAGTTTCTCGCACTCACATCTGCTCCTAAACTCGCCACCGGCGAAGCCGGTCCCCAAGGCCCCGAAGCGTGATGACAAAAGCGCGGCGGACTGGAAAGCCGCTTGCAACTTCTTCGAGGGCAACCCGCAGGCCACGGCTTCCGACGCGAAGATAGTCCATGGTTTGTTCATGAGCACGACAGGAAGAGTGCGACTGATCACGGTAATAATTTTGGTTATGATTGTTATGGTTGTATTTATGTGGTGACGGAACCTGTTGAAGTGAAGAATGGCAAACAACGCATGCAAACAAACGGGCGCACAAGGACAATCCGTCAAACAAAAACAAAGAACAGACACCAAACACAGCATCAACAGGACTAAGAAGATCTAAGAAGAATGACAACGACAGCAGCAACAACAGCAAAAGCAAAGACAAAGCAACTACAAAAAAATCAGTATTAATACCAACAACAACAGCAAGAATAACCGTAAGCATAACCACGACCACAATAACCAGTACACAACAAACAAGCACAAGACAACACAACAGCATTGTTAACATGAGCCCTAACCTTAACATGAGCCATCGCCTCAAGCTCCAGCTTAAGTTTATTATTAACAGCAGCATTAGCAGCAGCAAGAACAACAGCAGCAGCAGCAACAACAACAACAAAACTAGTACGAATAATAGTAAGAAGAAAAATAACAAGAACAGTCACAACAACGAGGATGAAAACGATAACCACGACTGCAACAAGCAGTCATCAACAAACAAGCACAACACAACACAACACTAATGCCTACATGAACCTTAATCTTAACATCAACCTTAGCCTCAAACAAACGCAACCTGAAGCTTAATGTTAACAGCAACAATAGCAGCATCAACAACAACACCAGCAGCAGCAGCAGCAGCAGGAACAACTAATTCATATTATTAAAGCGAATACTAATACTAGTACTAATTGTAACTGCACTGTTGATACTAATGCTATTAGTAATGACAAGAACAAGAACAACAGGAGCAACAACAACAACAACAACAACAACAACAGCAGTAGCAGCAGCAGCAGCCGCAGCAGCAGCGGCACCGCCACCACCACCACCACCACACCACCACCACCACCACCACCACCACCACCACCACCACCACCGCCACCGCTACCGCTACNNACAACAACAACAGCAGTAGCAGCAACGGCAACCGCAAAAAGCCCTTTGAGGCCGCTGGCAAGCCAAACGAGCCGACCACTGATATACGAAAACCTCACTGCACTGTGGAGGCTTGCGAGACTCGCAGGCTTCTTCTTGAGGCGGCATTGCACAATACCACCACAGCCCCCAATCCACCGGGGGGGGGGGGGGGG